AGGAAAAAGATGATTTTCTTTTTTCCTCTTTCATGAGTGCTATTTATCCACTCTAAGTATTTATACAGCATCAATCAACATATCTAAGCATTGACCTGTCCTGGGCACATTTCCCGACCTGTGCAGACATATGCCAAATATGAGTTGGAATTTATCAGCCGATAAGATTTCTCCATCACCACAGGTCACTTTGTAGTTAAAGCTAAAAACAGCTAAATAATTTCCTAAATAAAACAAAATGAAGACATCCACCTCCCATTCTCTCCTCCACCTACATCTTGACAGCTATATCAACGGAAATTCTAACATAGAAACTTTTGTACTTAAGAGATTCTGTTCTCATAGCCAAGATATTCATTTTACTCTGGGATGTTCAACAGAAAGATAATAGTTCTTCCCTGTCCATGTAGCAAAATAAGAATGCCACTCAAATTACTGTACACTGTAAGTCCTCTATACTAGCTGAACCTCTATTAGAATTCCCTTAAACCATGATGGGATATCAGTAAGAGGAACTGCCATGCAAAACGCTTTTCTATTTTGGAAAATGGATAATGATGAACTTCATCTGCATACGCATAATGGTGGTGGTGATGGTTGTAAGGTACATAGAGACTAATTAAGGATATAACCAGCTTCCATTATAATGGTTATTTCTGTCCCTCAATAATTTTAGTTTGGAAATAGATTACATTTGTTTACCAAAACAATGGCACTATTTTATCAAATACTTCACATTGTTGTTCCTTGATAATAATGTTTTGTATGTTGTTTAATAAGAAAAGCATATAACATAGTCAGCTTATAATTACATTAGACATACACGTGGACCTACATTTGAGGCTGGTCAACATGTACGTAATTATAGGCATCTTTTAGAAGGGTTTGTGCTTTCTGTGAGTTTACTGATAAAAGAGCAGTATTTCTTTTGGGTTAGAGTTAAGGCTGCACTGTAATGAATATGCATTTGGAACTTGGTAAGAATTATTATTACTAGAAAGCCTGTGCTGTCACATGGGGGTAATTTGTAAAGTCATGTGTGTAAGAAAAGCCAAATATGGCTGAGAACTTAAGTTGGGTGGTAACAGACTGTGAAATCCAGTGATGACTAAACCTGGTAATATTCTGAACATGACTGGATATTTCTATTGCTTTCGACTCACAAACATTCTAGGCTTCAGAGTGACAAGCTTAGAAGCTCGTTATACAGATGTAGGCTGGGTAAAGTTATATCATCCTTAACTAGTTGCTTATTTACTTAACAATTTTTAAGGAACGTGATTGATAAGAGAAAAACTTAACTCTTAGCAATCTTAACTGGTTTTCTAAATGTAAGTTTTTGATTTTGGATTGTATCAAGAAAAATCATATCAAATAAGCAGCTAAACTGTCTTGCTGAAAAACATGCAGAAGATGCTATAGTACTGTTAATGCTTAAATTAGTGGCTCTTTGGAAGTTATCTAAAGTCATATGTAAAATGACACAATTCAGATGGGATTCAGAGATATATAGTAAATGATTATGGTGATGGATACTCTGAATTTTATATCTGATGCAAGTAAAATTGTCATCCTTTTGTTAAGTAAAGCTTCCTCAAAACACTTTGAAAAGGTTGCATGGGCAGCATTATAATCTGAATTATTACAAACAGTGAAAGAAATTAAAGCTTGGTGACAAAATTTTATCTGGGTAGAATAGAGTGCTTGTGGGACAATTCAAACGCGTATGGCAAAACCAGTAATATCTAAAATCAAAATACATTTATGTTAGCTAAAGTGACATGATAAAAGATTGAAAACAAGAGCCTGAAGTACAAGAACAGAGAATTATTAAGTAACACATTAGGAAGGTTTAAATTGAAACTAATGATAATAGCTCTAATCTCTGAAGGAAGTTATTTAAAGTGCATTCTATTCTGAAAAGATTCCATAGAAGTGGCATTGTGGGTTTTTGGCTTATTGGTTCTTAATAAATGCACACCAGATGTGTTCAGATTACAAATTACACCTAAAATGGTGTTTTATTTTTTGTTTTTTAATTAACTTCCAGTCCAGTAAACTTATCCTGGAATCACAGTTAGTTCTCTTTACCTCAGACATCTCCACCAGTGAAAAGTTCTGCAGGCCAAATTATGCCTCCAATGACACTGTAACCTCACTACCTTCAGTAGCTTTGCATAAGGGAATTAGAAGTAAACAACCCACACATAGAATAGAATAGAATTCAGTCCATTCACTCTTGGCTGTGCTGAGTCTGCACCGCTAACAGAATTTACACCTGCACAAAACATTAGGTCAGGGAGTTTTCAATGAACTTTAGACTCTTCAGTTGTAAGGAAGATTTATTGTTATCCCAAGTCTATCTTAGAGCTTTACTCTCCATGTCCAACTAATATATGCTACACTAATATATGTATACCCTCAATTGAACTCAGATTAAATAAAATCAAAAATCCATGTATGAGAAGTTTTATAAAGTGGACATTTTTCTAGGTGGTCTTAAATAATGTTTTAAAAGTGCAAGTCTTCATGGAGTTACGTAAGAATATAAGACTGGCCACAGTGGGTCAGACCAAAAGGTCCATCTAGCTCAGTACCCTGTCCTTCTGAAAGTGGTCAATGTCAGGTGCTTCAGAGGGAATGAACAGAACAGGCAATCATCAAGTGATCCATCCTGCTGTCCACTCTCAGCTTCTGGCAATCAGACAAATCTGTCCAGTCAATATTAATTTTTTTTACTGCAAACGCAAGAGAGAGGGAAAAAAATGGAGCCAAATTAATGCCTTAACTGATGTGATTTTTTTTAAAGCAACCTTAAGATATCAAAAGTATTCCTTTCATATCCAGGGTCTGATAGAAGACAAAACGGTATACTGTAAGTGGAACAGTTTTATTATACAATACTAGTTTTAATTCTGTCATATACATGTCCAGTGAAATAACAATTCAATATTTAATTTGCCAAATGACTGTTTTTCCCAACCATTTCCAATCATTGTTTGAGGTTGAAAATAAAGAAAACCCTGGATCTAATGTCCTCCTATATCACTTCAGGACAGATCATAGCAGAGAATGCACAGAGGTGGACTTAGTGCCCACAATCTGTATAAGGTGATGATTTAGTACTTTTTAACTATCAGTGGAGTAAAAGCAGCTATACACAAAGGAACAGAGTAGGTTATAAAGTCAAGACCTATACTCCCCCTCCTTTAAAAAAAAAAATCTGATATATATCATACCATCACTATAGCAAGTCTACAAAGGACACATTTTAAATTCTTATTTTTAGATACTGTTCTGCTTGAAGTTTTCATACTTATTCTTTAACCTAGAAAAGATTTTCCCTAAGGAAAGCTTACAGGAAATTCATTAGGCATATTTTGAGTTGGTTAAATGTTAAAAATGCTTTTCAACAGTAAAAGCACCTGAACAGTTGCTTGTACTCAGGATCTTCAAGTTATCTTCAAACTTAGCACATATGCTGTTACAATCAAGGCTTTGCAACATTTGAAGGTAACACACTTGAAATAAAGTTCAGAATGTTCGAAAGCTTACAGGTAAAAACCCCACACTTAAAACATAAATGTCTTTATTTGCAGAACCCTCTCTCTACTCACATGGTAGAGTCTGGTGAGTGGAGGTGGGATGCAGGGGCAGCAGATGGAGCCAAAACCTTAGTAACAGAGGCAGAGCTACTTCTAACTAAGGAAGCAAGGAGGAGCAGCGGCTTCCAGATTAGTGGTCTTGCCAAAAAAAAAAAAAAAAAAAAAAGCTAATTTTAAAAAGTAAAAACTTACTTACTATGTCATTGTTTCTTTGCATTTGGCTCAGCTTGCATAATGAAAATAATCTATTTGGTTTGACTTTTGTTTAGTCAGTTTCCCAAGGTATTAGCATAACGGTGCACTATTTAGATTGCAAACATTGCAGAAAAAGTTTTTTGTTTAAAAATCCTGTGTTTCCACTGAAATTGAAAAAAAAAAAAAAAAAAAAAAAAAAAAGAATAGAAAAATTTCAGTTCTTAAGTTTTGAAAAAGCTTACTTTTACAAAACTTATATTTTGGGTCAAATTCAACCTCTTTAAAAACTGTGCATTCAGCAAATATATTACATTACTTTGCTTACTTATATGCAAGTACGATCCAAAGTGAGGCATTCCAACGGTATATATATTATAGTAGATATATAAATGCATCCTGGGATAAATAAATTATGGAATTAACAGGAAGCTGTAACCATGCTTGAGTAAGTGAGGTTTTGCTGTTTGAATATGCTAAATTAGGTCAGTCCAGGTCAGCTCTAAAGAAGGGTGGGAAAGTGCAGAACATGTATCTCTTGAACACCACAATTTTCAAATAGTGCACCTTGCATATGTTAAAGTCCTATTACAATATTAAGTGTTCAAAATCAACAGTATGATAGCATGTTCTGTTAGCATGATAGCTTTTGAGTGCAGGTTCAGTTCAGCTTCTTACAGGAATGGATTTCTGGATGCCTCTCATAGAATAGTCTTTTCATTTGATGCTTACAGCCTTGAATATTTACAACAATGACATCTGAGCTGAGATTTTTCAGACTTTTTAGCCCTAAATTAATTTGTTTGCAAAGTTTCAAGAAAATTCTTTCAGTTGTTTTTCTCAGAATTAGTCATTCAAATAAACGGTTGTTGACAAGAGGTCAGAATCTTGGATTTGCACTTCTTCAAAGGTCTAACAGCATATGGAGTTGTACACCTTGGTTCAAAACCAACATGAAATGGAGCATGCCCCCTACCAAAATCACCAGCATCACCATTGTTGATCCAAGAACAGCTCTGATTTTCAAACTTCACACAAATTCAATGGTGTAATTTCAACGTTAAACCCACTAATATTTTGGAAACTTTTTTTTTTTTTTTTTTATAAAGGAATATGGCTTTTGCCAGACCATATTTTAAAGCTGTTTTCAGATCAACTTTAGTACGAATAAAATATGAAAGCAGAATCTAAAGCTTAGGTTACCTTTTTATCCCCCTGTTTTCGCCTTCGTAGCCCTGGTCTGTAATCATCTCCAAACCGCAAAAAGTAATAATAAGAAACTAGTCGTTCTATAGGATCTCTTATGACATTAATGTAAATTGGTTTCTTTTTAACACCAAATCTGAAATAGAAAATAAATAAATAAAAATGTCAAACCAACGTTTTTTCTGCAGTATCTCAAAAATGTATTTACTGACATTAGGTAAAAGTAAAAGTGTATACATATTACAGAAGGAAATTTTAATCTTTAGTGCCAGGAAGTCAATATTTCACATTAGGGCTATATATTACTGTTTGAAAGAACAGAAGAGTGCTGTCTGAAAAAGGACAGATGAAAAAAGTATTGAAAACAGAGATATTCTCTACCTTGTGATGGAGGGTTCCAGAAATGTTAACACAATAGATTCTTGTTTACAGGAAAAAGACAAACACAAAAAACCAAGCCACACACCAGGTAAGTCAATTCTGTGTGTGTCTGTATGATTTTTTGTTTGTTTTTAATATAATCCAACCCGTGTCTTTGAGCTAAAACAATATTGAAATGTCAATAATTACATCCTGCCTGCTTCCATACCAGGTGTAGAAAGTTTTAATATAAGTAACCTGACCTTAGAAATTCCTTCCCTCGGTCTAGCAACCAAATATTCACACCACAGAAGCCCTCAGGAGGTTCGGTCTTCTTTTCCTGCTTCCTGCAGTTGTTGCTGTTCTAACTGTGCTATGCACTAGTGAAGTAAGTGGTATTCCTGGCATGATGCCAAGGACAGAGATGCACACTACAAGGAAGGGGAGGTGCTCAGGGACTGTCATTTGGCTAGGATTATAAAATGTGGGTGTTCTTGATACAAGCAGAAACCAACACTTCATTTTCTATTACAGGCTTCAGAATGGTAGCTGTGTTAGTCTGTATCAACAAAAAGAATGAGGAGTACTTGTGGCACCTTAGAGACTAACAAATTTATTTGGACCTAAGCTTTCGTGGGCTAAAACCCACTTCATCGGATGCATGGAGTGGAAAATACAGTAGGAAGATATACATATAAAGAGAACATGAAAAGATGGGGGTTGCCTTACCAACTTTAACAAGACAAATCAATTACAGTGGGCTATTATCAGCAGGAGGAAAAATCACTTTTATAGTGGTAATCAGGATGGCCCATTTCAAACAGTTGACAAGAAGGTGTGAGTAACAGTAGGGGGGAGAATTAGCATGGGGAAATAGTTTTTAGTTTGTGTAATGACCCATCCACTCCCAGTCCTTATTCAGGCCTAATTTGATGGTGTCCAGTTTGCAAATTAATTCCAGCTCTGCAGTTTCTCGGAGTCTATTTTTGAATGTTTGTTGTTGAAGAATTGCCACTTTTTGGTCTGTAATTGAGCGTACAGGGAGGTTGAAGTGTTCTCCGACTGGTTTTTGAATGTTATAATTCTTGACGTCTGATTAGTGTCCATTTATTCTTTTGAGTAGAGACAATCAGGTTTCGTCAATGTACATGGCAGAGGGGCATTGCTGTCACATGATGGCATATATCACATTGGTAGATGTGCAGGTGAACGAGCCCCTGATGGTGTGGCTGATGTGATTAGATCCTATGATGATGTCCCTTGAATAGATATGTGGACAGAGTTGGCAACGGGGTTGGTTGCAAAGATAGGTTCCTGGGTTAGTGTTTTTGTTTTTTTTCCTCCTGCTGATAATAGCCCACTGTAACTGATTTGTCAGTGACTTTTCAAGATTTTTTAAGGCCCCTGTGCTACCTAAGAATGTTATTTTGGGGCCAGACTAATGACAGACCTGGACAGAGGCCTGAACATTTGGTCTTATAATGACCATTCTGACTGACTAATGCAGAGCTCCTTGGAGCTGGATTGTGTTATGACATATATTTGTACACTTGACAATTACAAGAATGCAGAACATACTCACAGTTTCTTTAAAAGTATAGGTCAAAAGCAAAGAGCAACCACAGTACTCAATATATGATTTTAATAATGAAAACCACAAATAAGAGAAAGGAAGCTGTTGTGGGAAAAAATTAGACATTTAGGTAAAAGGGCAACAAACAGCAAAACACAAGGATAACACAGCCCTGGAAGGAAATATGAACATGAATGAAATCTGTGAAATTGCTTAGATGCCTTTCTACAGGTACAATAATTATTTTAATCTGGAAAGTTCCAGAAGATGTTTTCAGCTTTATGCCTTTAGTAATGTAAAGAATAATATTCACCTAGCTGTTCACAAGGCTGTTATTCCATTAAGGGTTCAAGTCAAAAAGTCCATTAATATAGTATTTTAACTTTTTTTAAAAGGTGGGAGAGGAGGTTGATGCAATGTGAAGCACAGGGTTTCTTCATTTTATTTCATGGTTTTTTTTTAAATTAAGGTTTCTCTCCTTCTGTTTCTTTTAGCAATCTTGAAATTTCAGCTGCTGCCCACTGGTAATTTCCAGCTGACATAGTGGCTTTTCGGACTTTCTATTAGAGATAAGCTAAATTGGGAGTTTATGATGCTCCCCCATTTTACTTTTACTTTTTTTTTTAAATAAAAAGTTATAATTAAAAATTACTTCTAGAGAGGGGTTTAAAGGCTACAAACCAAAAGATCTTTACCCTCTGAGGTCTTAGTTAATTGTCCGAGTGGAAAGGAGGAGGAACACAAGTGATGGGGAATATGGGCATGATCTTGCACCACTGAAGTCAATAGGAGTTTTATTATTGACTTCAGTGGGAGCAGGATTAAGCTCTACAAAGGGGATCATTATTCAGTGTATTTTCTATGTATTTTTGTAAAGATAGTATTAGTGTATAGCACAAAAGTGACTGCTTTAATATATTGGTATGTTATTAACTGTGGCATGTTAAAAACTAAATTTAAAAAAGTTTAAAATGTATGGTGAACATGAAGAGCCACAAACTTCAAAGTAACCTAACTGAATACCAGTTATATGGTGTTGCTTATTAGATGTGGTATGTTAGATTGCGTCTAAACTTCTCAGCCTGTGAAGCATATCACTAGGATGACACACTCAGTATTCAGAAGAGCGAGCTGAAATTCTCAGGCAAAGGCACTCCTGTTGCTCAACCAAGGAATAATATTGCTAACTTGTGGAGTCAGGTCCTAAACGATGAGCTAATTCTTTTTTATCATGCAATAAACAGGACAAAGTTGTATTAAAAATCTAAAGGGAATATTGCTATTTTGAAGGACACTCAATGTTTGAATTTTTTTAAAAACAGTTGTCAGATTCTGATCACTAGAGGGCAGTAATATTTAAGATGGATCTACATAATCTACTTGAACTACTGGACTCCACAACTGAAAGCTGGTAAAACTATCACGTTTCGGAAGGAAATATTTTATCTACTGTGTAGTTTTAAGAATATAAACAGTATCAACCATTGTAGATGAAACAAATCATTGGGTAACTTACTTTGCAAAATCCAAGTAAGATATATGTCCATGATAAAATCCTGGTTTCATTTCCTTCCAGGAAGTTACATTCTTCACAAATCGCACCTACAAAAGTAGAAAACAGTCAATATTCCAATACTGTTTGGAATGGCTGATGCTTAGCTTCCAATAATATGTTCCATTCAATAAGTAAAACCGAACAATGCATTATGATAAAAATCTATCACTATGAATATTACCAAAAGACATATGACTAACTGAAAAGGATACTTTATTTAGAAGCACATGGCAATTGACTCATCTTAGAGAGCCACAATTTAAAGCTAAAAAAATATGAAGCAGAAAGTAGCAATCAGAAAGGCAAAGAAAGCAAAGTCAGAAATATGATCAATACAAACAACATTTTAATTAGTATTTTTTGTTAGCCTGAAACATAGTTTGAAGGCAATACAGAGTTCCCTCAGCAGTGAGCAACAGGGACCAAATCCATCAATCTGTATTCAGATTCCAACAGATTTTCCACAAGAAGGGAACGATTTTTTCTTCAAATGTGTTAGGTGAAACGCTGGTTTTTTATAGGATCTATTTTACAGGGACATGAAGGCATCAAACCTGGTGGACCATTTGCTCAAAAGGAACAAAATTTTAATTTTTGGATGGACCATCAGCCAGACTGCATTTCAGCACTATGTTTAGTTTAAGGTACATCTGCATTCTTCTCTGGAGCTTATTACTAGGAAAAATTAATTTAAGCCCAAAAGCTCAACATGACAATCTAAATCTATACAGGGATGGTGTCCCTAGCCTCTGTTTGCCAGAAGCTAGGAATGGGTGACAGGGGATGGATAACTTGATGATTACCTATTCAGTTCATTCCCTCTGGGGCGCCTGGCACTGGCCACTGTTGGAAGACAGGTTACTGGGCTAGGTGGACCTTAAGTCTGACCCAGTATGGCCGTTCTTATGTTCTTAGATCATACCAAGGCATGAACTAGCCCTTAGACAAGAGCTGATCAAGTTCTAAGCGGACCTCACATTTGGAAGATGATCATGCAGTACAAAATAAGATACATGGCCCAAATTGCAGTGACTTACTTTTTTTTAAAGGAACGTACCAGTAGGGTATTTGAGTTGACTTCAGATTCATGCCTCCCCCATTTATGTTTATGCACCCACTGTGCTGTAGTACTTGGGGGAAATAACCTGGTAAATGCATCACAGTAAACTGTGCACAACAGACTTCAGAAATTGTTTGCCTCACTGTGCCATATCAGCCAACCATAATACATAATTTACTGATGGTTATTTATTGCAAAAAGATATGCCTTGCACTACACACTTCAGTTTAGTAAATTTCTGGATCCATGGAGCACTAGATGAAGAAAGCCCCATTGTCAAGGGAGCCTCCACTGAAAAGGACTTACTTGCAATCTTGAAGAGCATGCTTCCATATGGTCAGCAAAATTGTTTCATCACAGTAGTGCACAGAGATAATGTCCTTGAGTTAGCCAGGTTCTAAATAATATAACTACTGCAATATTGGATGCAATAGTACCGAGTACCCCTCTATGGGTTGGTGAAATGCTGTAACAGCTGCTAGGTAGACCCTAAGAGAGCTTAGGGATAACCCCCGATTTTTTAAGGGTCAGGGCATATTCCAGAATATGGGAAAGAGTTGCTGACACTGGAGAGATTTGTTGGGATGTGCACCAAATCTGGAACCTGGACCATTTCTGCAGGTAAGTGCGTCTTGCGGAGGACTTTCTACTGTGTAGTAGAACCTCTTGCACTTCCTTTGAGCATGAGCTTTCTAGGTGCTGGAACACATAGGATCCATGCCTTGAGGTGGAAGATCCCCAAGTTGGGATGTATGGTATACCCTGTGTCCTGAGAGAGGGAAGGTGCAGAGTGGCTGGAAGGGAAAAATCAGTGGGCACATTGCGAGCTGCAGGTAAGGGTACCAGGTCTGTCTCAGCCACGTGGGAGCAATCAAAATTACATAAGCTCCGTCGCTCTTTATCTTTAGCAGGACCTTCAGCAGAAGAGGAAATGGAAAGAAGACGTAAAGAAGGTCCTTGTCCCATGAGAGGAGAGAGCATTGCCCAGAGAGTGCCGTTCAATACCCGTCCGGGAACAGTCCGATGGACACTTCCTGTTTTGGTAAGTGGTGAACAGATCCATGGACGGTGTTGCCCACTGTGCAAACAAGCCATGAAGTACTGATGGATGCATCTCCCACTCGTGGTCATGCAAGAAAGGGCGATTGACTTGTCCGCTACCACTTTCTGCATGCCCAGGAGGTAAGCCACGGATAAGGTGATGTTGTGAGAGATACACCAGTTCCACAGTTTCATTGACTCTGTGCATAGAAAGGGTGATCTGGCTCCTCCCCGGTGGCTGATATAATACATGCAGACTATGTTGTCCATCAGGACCTTTATATGTGATCCTGTTATCAGTGAGAGGAAATTGGCACAGGCGTTCCTCACCGCTCTCAACTTAAGGAGATTGATGTGCAGGGACATCTCTGCAGGTGACCATTTGCCTTCTGTTGTGATATCGTTTAAATGCATGCTCCATCCTATGAAGGGATGTGTCACTGGTAAGGAGTTATGAAGGTGGCGCCTGTAAGGAGGGGATCCCTTCGCATGTATTGGCCAGGTTCTTCCACCAGTCCATGGAATCCTTGATCCTGGTGGGCAGTGACAGGGCTTTGTCCAGAATGTCCTTGTTTGGTCTGTTAACCGAGCTGAACCACAGCTGTAGGCATCGCATGTGAAGTCTGGTGTGTGAAATCACTGCTGTGCCAGCTGCCATATGCCCCAGGAGCTGGAGGCAGATTCTTGCTGGCACCTGAGGACTGCATTGAGCCATGTCTATAAGCGACACCAGGGATAGAAATTTGTCCTGATGTAGGAAGGCTTTGGCCTATAGCTCATCTAGGTCAGCCCCTGTGAATTCTAGGCATTGCCCTGGTGTGAGGGTCAACTTCTGGGAACCGATCTGCAGGCCCAGCTCCGTGAACAAGCATATTGTGTCTTTAGTGGCTCGACGAGCCTCCTGAAGCTACTGGGTTCTCAGGAGACAATCGCACAGGTAAGGGTAGATCATTATCCCTTGAGATCGTAGCTAGGCAGCCACAACTGAGAGAACTTTGGAAAATACTCTGGGTGCCGATGGAAGTACGAAGGGGAGGAGTGAAACTGAGGAAACATCTGTGAGCTAGTAGTATTGAGATGTGAAAGTAGGCATCTTGTAGGTTGATGGCCGAAAACCAGTCTCCCTGTTCCGGTGATGGAATGATCGTCAATAGGGTGACCATCTTGAACTTTTGAGCTTTGACGAACTTGCTGAGAGCTCTGAAATCCTTTCCTGGTGGGAATTGGGAAGTAACGAGTAGAACCCCTTGCCTCGTAGATGCTGAGGTACTGGTTCTATGATTCCTAACTGCAGGAGTCTATCTCCTACCATAGTAGACTCTTGTGAGAAGGGTCTCTGAAGAGGGATGGGGAAGGGTGTTGTGGAGGGGATAGGGAGGTGAAGTGGATGAAATATCTGGATCTGATGATCTCAAGGACCCATCTGTCTGAAATTATGCACTCCCAGGCACTGTGGAATGCTGCCAAATGGGTGTGTGGTCACAGGTAGTAGAGGGGAGTGATCTCTTGGTGCCTCGACCTGCCAGTCAAAAGTGATGCTTAGGGGCAGATGTTTGGGTCAAGGACTGGTAACCCAAAAACTTTCATTTTGAGAACATTCCCTTTTTCCTCTGGGGCTCATAGCGCTGTTGTGATGGGAATTGGGATGAATAAGGCCTTTGCTGGTATTGAGGGCTGAAGAGTCTCTTTTGCCCCAGTGTGTAGATTCCCAGTGACCTGAAAGTAGCCCTGGAATCCTACAAGGAGTGGAGAGAGGCGTTGATCTTCTCGGTGATGAACTTCACCTCCTCAAAGAGGAGGTCCTCTACCATGGTCTGCATCTCTTTCAGGAAACCCGAGAGGGGAAGCCACAATGCCCGTCTCATCATCACAGGCTTTTTTACCATCAGTTGCCATTTTTGGATAATGGCCTGGAAGGAATCCCGGGAGCTATCCAGCAGTTTATCAACAAAGTCTTGTAGTTTATTGCAATTTGTATACTCATGCTTTGCCGTGAACGCCTGGTAATTGGAGATTCGAAACTGTAAAGTGGCTGAGGAGTATGCCTTCCTGCCAAAGAGATCAAGACGCTTCCAATCTCTGTCATAGAGTGCTGTCCTAAAGCGGTGTTGTTGGCCATGAGCGTTCACAGCATCCACCACAATGGAACTGAGCAATGGGTGAGTAAATAGGAACTCTTGATTTCTTTGCGGGGACATAATTTTTTTTGTCTGCCTGCTTGCATGTCGGGGCCACCGAAGCTGGGATTTGCCACACCATCTTAGCTAGGTCTAGGATGGCCTTGTTAATTGGGAGGGCGATTTTGGAGGTAGATGAGGCATGGAAGATATCGATGAGCTAGTGGTGTGTATCTTTAACTTCCTCCAATGGTATGTGGAGGGTGTCCACCACACTCTTCACCAGTTCGAGACATGTGGAAGTCATGGACGGTGGCAACAGCATGACTGTTTTGTCCAGTAAGGAAGAGGATATGGCCGTGAGTGTGACCGCCTCCTCTGCGTCCACCTCTCGCTCTCCACTTCCAAGGCATGCGATACTGTAGCCAAGGGGCATGCCTGGGAAGCGCTTGGGCAATGCTCAATGCCCTTGAGACGGGTTGGTGGTGCGCCACCCAAGGGTCCTAGTATGGCCCCTGTGGGGGCATATGGCCTGGCGGAGGTGCCCACGGGTGGCAGTGCCATCTGGTGGTACAGTCCCAGACCCTGTTGATATCAGGTCCCATATAAAGCTTGGGAGGAAGAGAGAGAAACCCCATCTGTCTCACTGTCCGATCCCTCACTTGACAGAGGGGCATGGCATGATTGTGCGGGAATACCCTTTGGTCAGCCATGCTCAGTGCTGTGATCTCGATACCGAGGGGCAGAGAGTCAGGAGCTTCCGACATAGCCAGGTCACCAGCCTGATGAAATTTTGCCAGTACTGAACATCCCAGCGTCAGTAGTGGTGCTGGGAGAGATGAGGACCTCACCCGTACCGATCTTTCCAATGGCAGATGGGCCACTGCCGCTGGTGGTACCGATGACAGCTTGCATACTGGGAACATCTTAGGGCATTTGACCATGTCTCTCTCTACCAAAGATTCAATGCCCATGCCCAAAGGATCCGTGGGCTTGTCAACAGTACTGGACACCAACAGAGATGGTGATCACTTTCGGCTATCCCTCGGGCTCACTGAGGGGACTTGAATTTTCGAATTATGAGAGGAGTCCCAAGACCGTTTGACCCACTATCCTTCAAAGTTGAAGGGAAGACTCACACCCGCCGGAGGGCTAGGGTCAGAGAGCTGCCTCCATACAGATGATTTTCTGGTGGAGATCTCTGACCTTGCGGGAATCTCAGTTGGAGCTGCTGGCAGAGGGAACACCTTTTTGGACGTGGCCCTTGCCGAGGCAGCAAATGCACTGGGAGTGCACCGGGATTGCTTTGCTGCAAGTGCGACACTTCTTGAAGCCTGGAGAGCTGGGCATACCCTTGTCAGGGGGTCTCCTCTCACCCACAAGGGGTCAACACAAGAACAAAATCTTTTTTTTTTTTTTTTTTTTAAGTCAAGGCCAAATAAAAGTCAAAAGAAGGCTAAAGGGTTTCTAAAAGCTAAAAAAAAGGCTCCGTCTCTAACCGGGGGCGGGTGAGAAGGAACTGAGGACGGCTAACCCACGCGCACTGGCTAGCCTCGTGGAACAGCATGAGGAAACAGTGCATGCGTGGGCCCAGTGGACACTGCTACCAAAGTTCTCCAATCAGCAGCGCAGGGATGCAGACACTTACAGTGGAGCACCCATAGGGGCACCACTCGAAGAAGAACCTTTAACTTACTCTTTGTTTCATGCTGGTCCAAGCAAAACCCATGGCTAAGAAGGTAATATCAATCATAGCATACAGTCATCATGTATATCAGAGGCCTGCTTAGATGATTTAGCCAGGACTTTTCTTAGCTCATCTTTCAACAGATGGTACTCAGTCCAGCACAAGCCAAGACAGGGTAAGTGAGCTGCTGTACTGCATTTGGCTTAAGATGTGGACATGTACTAAAAAGAACTTCTGAAGTTTTATGACAACCCATAGCCATGCTGGAGGTAAATGATTTTTTCCCCTCATTGGGTCACTGATGACTATTTCTTGCAATTCTCTGTCTCTCTCTCCTGTTGAATGTGGGTCGGCTTTTGTTTGCTTGTTTGTTTTATTTTAAAGGGCCTTGTAGCTACTGGGGCTCACATGAGTCAGTGATTAAAGTTTGTGTCCAAACTAAGTAAGATCTTTGAGGTTATTTTGGAAAATACAAGTAAGTGTGAATGAGTTTCTATGAAAGTGTTTTCCAGGTATTTTTAGAAAAATAACTGAAAGGCTATTTCAGAGCTCCTAATAGGTGTTAGCTCAGCTGAGCTTCACTGAATTGAAAACTGGATCAAATGTACTCAGAGGAGCTAAGTAGTACTGCAAGGAAAACAGGAATGAAGGATGAAGTTCAGTTTTCTAGGTAACTGGAAGCTTAAAATGATTCCAGCGATCAAACAGGAGGTGCCAGAAGGTCCTATATCAACTCAGCAAAATAAGCCGGGGAATATTTACATTAAAGAAAAGTGCATACAGCACAAAACTGGTGTCCTACTACACAATTTACTCCCAATCCACCAATTACCTCTCCTTGTCCCCTAAATCCATCCTTCTTCCTCCCTGCAGTACTGACCATATATCTAGCTTTTTCCTATGACTTTGTGTCCCAGGAACTTCTTTTGAGACACCTGAAATGTTCCAGCTTTTCATTATGATGTTGGCTTTGTTTATAACTTCTAAATACTTGTTCAAGACATATTGCTATACTGAGTAGAATTAGCTCTGCGTTCACCAGGAACAAACAGTCCAGTAGAATGAATGCAGTATGGGGTGAAGAGAAAATTCTAAAGAAACTACCAAAACTGTCTTTTTGCTCAAGGTGAATGATAATGACATTTGTTCAGTGTTTCATGCTGAACTTATTCAGAGCACTAAGCTAGTGGAAAATATCCACTATGAGAAATACAGTTACCTTAGTCTGAGGCCCCTTACTTCCCAGGCTGCATGCGCCTCTTGTCAACAGCAGCAGCTACTCCACCGCTATGTTCCTTTTCTCCCAATAGGCAGGGCTAATCATTTTGCTATTGCACCTCTCTTTCTCTGACTGTATTTTTCGTGCTGACTATTTTAGTATTCCTTTTTCTGGAGATAATTTCCTCCCCCGCAGCGCCATCTGAGTTGCTTATTGGAGGAAGGGTGGAACAGATGACCATGTAGCAGCCTTACTGACTGGTTCTAAAGGGAATGGAGTCACAGCAACCAGCCCTTGACTGGCTGCCAAAAAATCCAGAAATTTGCAGGAGAGGCAACAAGTGGTGGACAGAAAACCTGAGATTCCCCAGTTCTGGGACGGACTTGAGGAAATCATGACAACTAACCACTCTGAATTTAGGAACACAGATTGCTACACTGAAGCAGAACAGTGATCCATCAAGTTTGGTACCATGTCAAGAGGTAGAAATCCTACGTAGGCAGGAATGGCTTGAAACTTTTCTAGTTGACAGGTTATCACCCCAAAAAGTTAGGGCTTGTCTACACAACCTCATAATTTGGGCTACAGGAGTGTGAACTGCAGTGCACACCAAAATACTCCAGCTCCCTCGTGGGGATGCTGCTAGTGTGAACTAAAAGGTATCTAGTTTGCATTAACATAGACCTGTTTGAAGAGGACTACATTAATGTGAACTAGGTACCTTTTAGTGTGTGCTAGTAATAGCCATACGGTAGAGTTAAGCCCATAGAGGTTGCCCTGAAGCTTGAAGGCGTTACATCCTTTCCAGAGTTTTTGTTTATTTTAAAAAAATATTGACTATTGTCAAATATTTACAATACAGTTGGCAGAAGCCTTGGTATGAAAACCACTTCAGTTTCTTTAAGTCAGTGATTCATATTGTCCATTGAAACATTGCTTTCTGAATTTAAATTATCCAAAATGCTGAAATAAAACCAAATACGTTTCAATCGTAGGTTCTTTCTCAGAGACAGACACACACAGTTCAATTACTTGTTAAGAAAACAGCTCATTATCCCTGCCAATGATTAATCTTACTTTATTTTACCTATAACTAAGGGCTACTGAGGTGAAACAACAACCCAGAATCTTGATCCTGACTTGACAATATGCCACAAGCAGCTATAGCATTACCAGTAATGCTATAATTAGTTGATCCATGTTCACTTATATTACAGAAAAAATAGGCTAACAGAGATTTGGGATCTGATTTTCAAAGTCAGGAATGTGCATACGTGAGACTAATTCAGGCACATGATTTCATATGCAAATTGGACAACCGTATACTTTAACAGGTCTAATTGGTCACTTGCATATGCAATTATATTTATGAATTTACTCACAGTAACTGCATTGGCAAATTAGATACACAACTGTGCACAACTAATTTTGCAAGTAATGTTTTTCTGTTAAGCTAAACACTGCAAGCAGAGCAACATTATGTAGTGCGGGATTTTTAAAGAATAGGGTTTAAAAAAGAACTCAGAAATATTCAGGGACACAGAAGTGGACTGAAAACTTGCTGAACATTATATAATACCAAACACTTCCTAATACAATTTTCCTTGAGATGTTCATTGCATTATGTTATTTCCTCTCTAGTAATTTATAACTCACCTAGCTGAATGAGCTTTTTATTCTTCTCATTTAAAATATATTTTTGGAGAGTTAACTTTGATACCCATGGAAGTGGTGAAGTGGAAGCACTATGTACAGCCAAGCATAACGTGAATAGACAATATACTAGACAAGTATTACACATTGCTACGCCAATGCAGGTCAATCCTGATCCACTGTATCCCTTTTTATTCTAGTCTTTGACCTTTAAGCAGAGACTTCTATCATGCCAAGTAGTGTGGTAAATTAATCCTGTTACATAATGAAACAATATTAACTTTCTCCATATACAGAGAAAATATCATTCTAATTATAAACTTATTTAATAAAGCTACATTATAATGGCACCCAATTCCATCTGTTCCTCCGGTTATATTTATAATAGCAAATGACTATTCTTTGTGGACATATGTACACACTCAAAATGCTTTTTCCTGAATAGTGCTGAACACACAATAAAATATCTAATATATTAAAACTGCTGAAGTGGCTAAAAACCCATACCATCATGTCCACAAATTTAACTTACCTGATCTTGCAGTGACATAACAGGATTATTTTTGGTTGTATTGATATGCAGAACATGATATTTGTTCTTTGCACAAAGGTCATAGGCAATATTTGTGAAGGATGTGCTTGCAGTTTTAGGTACTCTGTTGTAAATGATCACCACATCATCATCTTCATCCACAGTTGCATCTTGTCGAGGACCATCTATTGTATGACGTTGTTCTATTTCTCTGACTTCATGTCTTGCAATAGCTCTTTCTGTAAAGAGAAACAGAAAAACTAAGCTGTCAGTGATAATGAAAAAGTAGATAGTGATCTTGAAACTCAGTCCTTAGAATTAAAATGACAAAAAAGGTTAAAAACCATCTTACTAATAAAGAAAACAACTACTAAATTGTTTGTTTTTTAACGTCTGGATTTAAAGTTTTCCATTCCCGCTCAATGAGTTTTTATAGATTAAGCTAAATTATGCTTGGAGACAAAATATGTTGTCTGGAAACTGATAAACAGTGAGAGATATTCTTTCCTTTGACTTATGTTAGCATTAAAACAAGCTATCCTCTTTTCTTTAAAAAGTTGTCTCTGATGCTGTATCAAAATGGTAACACTTCTCACAAGTCCCCCCAAAATCCTATAAAATACCCAGTACTCAGAAATGATACTAGGTAAAAGGAATAATTAGTTCAAATATTAAAGTATAAAATATGTATTTAAAAAAAACCGTAAAATCACTGACCATAGATGGCTTAGTCAATTAATGGTGAAGAGGCACTGGGAGTTTAAATAAAACTATTGTTCTTATTCCAATTAAGACAACTCCCCACGTGTAAATACTACAATGTATGGTTTTGCAAAAATCTAATTAGATGTATTACACCCAAATTTGATAAGAAAAGAAACAGGAGAAGCTTATGAAATGATTTACATTAGGGGGCAAAATTATTGCCCTGAATGCAAAACTATATCAAACACAAGGAAGGGGAAAAAAAAAGAAAAGCAAGCCCTGAATAAGACATGTTTTGGAGAGGTGAGTAAGCTACAAATAAAAATAAAAATTTCTTTTACAAGAAGGACAATGCTCTGGGCAATTGGTCTCCTCTTCAAATATCAAAGCTACTTGGAAAATGAGAAGTAGATCGTTATGGCTCTACAGTATGCCAAACATACTTTGTGCTGACCCAGACAAAATTCAAAACCTTTGTTCTATTCAGGTTAAGTAGAGTACCCACCACCATTCACAATTTAAATTTCAAAGCATCTTTTTAGAATTATGCATTATAATACTACTGTCTTTAATGGTGTACCTTTTTTTCCACATGGGTCAACAATAAGGTTTGAGCTCAGGATCTAGAGATTCATATCACAAACTTTTTCTACTTGAACTAAAGGAATAATTGTTAGTAAAAATAAGCTGTTGTCCTTTATATGGAGTACTTCCTAGAGCAGTGGTCCCCAAATTTTTTCTGTCACGCCGCCCCCTTTACCAGTAGTGGAATCTGTCCATGCCCCCTGGAAGCCACGCTCAGAGGTGGGACCAGGAGCAGGGCCACAGTTGTAGCCAGGGGTGGGGCTGAGGCAAGGAGCGGGGCTGGAGCTGCAGCCACGGACTGGGGGCCTAAGGCTGGGAGCAGGGCCTGAGGCTAGGAGCTGTGGCCGGGGCTGGGTGGTGTTCCCTTCCTGCCCTCTGTAGGGACTGGCCTGGTCCCCTGCCGAAAGTTCCTACACACACACACACCCCAGGAGGGTGTGCCCCACAGTTTGGGGACCACTGTCCTAGAAAGAGGTTATGACACACACTCAGCAAGGCACAGCTATGTGTGACAACAGGGGAATGTTAGTTATGATCCTGGCTTCTCTTCCTGGCTCAAGGGCAGTGTGGTCTAGTGTTTAGAGCAGTGATTACAGACCGCATAGCTATATATACAGATTTGACACATTCGAAGACAGTGTGACAGAATGGGTTAGAGTTTGCTCTGTCATATTAGAGACCTGAGTTATAATCCCAGGTCTGCTTGAAGTGACCATGGGCAACCTCTCGATTACCTTACTTGTAAAATGGATAATACTGGTCTTCCTCTTAGCTTACACATATGAAGCTTTGCTCAGTAGTTAGGGTTATGAACCAGTGAGACAAGAATCTAATGTTCGATCCTGGCTCTCAGCCCAATGCACTTTCCCTCTAGGCCAAGTGGAGTTAAGGGAAAGTTTCTCGCGCCCCACTCTCATATATGCATAAGATTTTACCTGCAATGCAGGCAGGTGTGACAGGACTGCCAAATATGAGATTGTAATGAAGGATGCATGACACCTGATAGAACTGCATCCTCCCCCTCTCCTCTTCCATTCCCTGTCTCCTCTTCCATCACCTTCAGTCTTCACTTTTCTTCCTCCTCTTGTGCTCCTAACTCACTTCACCCTACCTCTATACCACAGTTTAAATGTGAAATATTTAAAAAAAAAATGTAGAACTATCAAGCTGTGCACACAAGTAGCCTATGAAACCAAATATTATCATTACCCTCAGCTACACTCCTACAACTTCTCTCCTACTGTTTGTTACACTCATTTCCCAAGTCTTGTTTTAGACTGCAAACTCTTCAGGCAGTACCATCTCTTCCAATGTACCTGTACAACTCCTAATACAAAGCCCCAATCCTGAATGGGGCCATTGGGTGCTACCACAATAATAATACTAAGAAGAAAGAAGTACAGATGTATGCATCTCTTTCTGCTGTGCACACAGTCTTGAACCGAGTAGTGCTGGCAGCACTGTAACCACTGACAGACAAGGTTTCCTCTGGCAGCCCAGATGGGTGTGAAATTGCCTGTAAACGATTCATGTATTTCTCAATTGACAATTGAAAGTCTAGTCTTACCCATTTGCCTGAACTGGAAGATCTAGAAAGAAAAGAAGAATTTTGTGTTTTTTTTCCCCTAGAGTAAGTCATTTAATTCAGCAAATAGCAGATTAAAGGAAACCTAATATTAACTTTTTTTAAAATAGTAACCTCACCTAGTTGTGAAATGATGTGGATCATTAGCACATCTTGAATATCTTTAAGCTAAAACTCCAGAAAGCTGCCATGTTCCCTGTGTGATTTCAATTTGTGAAATAGTCTGCCTGGGAAGAATATGTCTGGAGAACCAGTGAAATGACAACATCACAATGACACAAGACAGTGGAAGGATCTGTAGGTGAGCTGATTACAACTCTTTTTGTTAACATATTGGATAAATGATGTCTTTGTTAAGAACTCAACACCCTTGCACATTCAATTAAGAAGTTGGAACTCACAACAAAATGCTCCGTGACACCAAAGAAGTCTTCCAGTAAAATTAGGAAAGACAAGATTTAACATTCCTATGGTCTTGTCTAGCCAAAATAGTTGTATCACTTAACTTTACCAGCATGATTAAAGCGGTGCAACTCCTCTAGTACTGACGCCACAATACCAAAATAGAAGTACTTATACTAGTATAACTGCATCCATGCTAAGTGTTGTGCTGGTATAACTATTTCAGTTTAAAAAAAAAAACAAAACATACTCCTAACCAAATTAGTTATACTAGTATAAAAATTGCGTGTAGATCACAAAAGATAACCCCTTCTGCATGTGCAAATATCAAGAGTAGATGTGGAATTTGCATGGTGATACCACCACACATCTGCAGGGAGCATGACACACATAGGTTGATCTTCCCCACTTCCCACAAGACAGATACTGCTCTGTTGCCATAGTGGCACAAATATGGAACAGCATCTCAGATGGCAGAAATCAAATAGAGATAATCTGCACTTTTCTTACACCAGTGCAGCATATCTACAGCAGGGTTTGTACCGGTGTAGCTAAACCAATGCGAAGAACTCCAATGTAGACAAGGTTAGAGCATGCTGAAGGAGGAGCTCTGTACATGTGCCAGTATACAGATAGACAACTTCACTGGAGGCAAAATCTGTAAGGAGGAAGGAAACAAACAACAAAGCAACCAACACATCCACATCCAGACACTCCTTTGAAGAAATTGCCAGAGAAGTTTGAGCACTAAAGCTTACCATTTTGCACAAAAGTGTTTTAAGAATACAACAAGCTTGAAAAACTGCTAAATCGTGCTTTTCAACCAGAAGAACCAGGAGTCAGCTAAAAACATAGGCTATGGCTACACTCTGAGGCTTTTAGCGACACAGTGAGAACATACGAATGTTTAGCATATCCTTGCAATGCCGGCTACAAAAGTGCCATGCAAATGCTTGTGCTCACTTTCTGGTGACACTGTAAATAAGAAGAGGGCAGCATTATCTCCTGTAAATGTAAACAAACTTGTTTGTGTTAGCAATTGGCTGAAAAAGAAGTAGGACTGAGTGGACTTGTAGGCTCTAAAGTTTTACATTGTTTTGTTTTTGAGTGCAGTTATGTAATAAAAAAAATCTACATCTGTAAATTGCACTTTCACGACAAAGATTACACTACAGTACTTGTATGAGGTGAATTGAAAAATACTATTTTTTATCATTTTTACAGTGCAAAAATTTGTAATAAAAATAATATACTTTGTATTCAGTGTTGTCACTGAAATCAATATATATGAAATTGTAGAAAAACATCCAAAATATTAAATACATTTCAATTGATAGCCTATTGTTTAACAGTGCAATTAAAACTGCAATTAATCGATTAATTTTTTTAAACACAATTAATTTTTTTGAGTTAATCGCGTGAGTTAACTGCGATTAATTGACAGCGCTAACTAAAATCAATTTTAAAACCATTTGAGCTAAACTGGTGAGAACGCATGTGTGGACACACTAATTTAAATTGGTCTTCTACTGGTTAAATTTGAACCTGTAAATTTACTTAAACCAGTGAACTGTGTGTAGATCAGGCCTAAGGGTCAAGTTAGGTTAATTCTCTCTCATTAGAAAGAGATCCTGCAGGCCAAAAGATGGTCTCCCTCAGGGACACCTCTTTAGTCCCACTGCCTTCAATTTAAACCTAGCTTTATAATTAAGCTAAATCATATAAGCCAGATATTAATTTAAATAAGAATGTCCAACACAACGTTTTGCACTGGTTTAACTAAATAGGTTTAAAAACCACACTTTCACTTAAATCCATGTAACTTTGATTATGGACAAGGAAGGCCTTATTCTTTGTGACAATATACTATTCTGTTGATGCAAAAGAAGAAATATTTTCCAGCCTCTTAATGTACTGGCTCTTAGTACCAACAGGAATAAAAGCAGTAAAGTCTTCGTCTCC